AGATTTATGATTTACGCAGAGTTTTTGAATTTAGTAAATTGTTAGACGACAAAGTTCAGGAGATAAGAATGCTACAGGAATGAGTGTTGATAATAATACATATATATGTTGCATTGATTTATTATTTTGCTCTGTCTTTTCCTTTTCTTCAGATTTCATCGAATCCAGTGTATTGAATGTACGTTTGACAGATAGATAAAAAAAAATATATATATATATATATTCGTAGCGAGCGGGCAAAAAGGATTTTATCATTATTATAACCATAAATAATTGTATTTTATTATAATAACGTGACTATCATAACTATCTTCCATAAGAGAAAAAAATTGATAAGATCAAAGATGTTGCCTGTACACAAATTCTTTTCTTTCATTCTATATTATAATTTTCATTTCTTTCATCTACATTATGAAAATTCTATGTACAGAAATGTTTCAAAATTATCATTTATTTATATTTTGTCCGATGAATCGATGGAAGAAGCGGTATTATTCTCACTTTAGACAACAATATACGTAATTTCGTAATAATATTTGTTCCCTTTGTAATACCCTACATATCTTGAAAATAATTTTCAATGTCTCTAAGTGTATACATTATCCAACTTATTGCGAACATATCGTATGACATAATAAAATTTCCGTACAATCCCCGTTTTAGTTTTTAGTACTTGCGACTGTAAGTGCGCTAAATATCATCATTTCTCTTCACGAGAAACATATCGGCGTGTGTCAAGAGGGTGTGTTAAAGGCTCTCTAAAGTGAAATGAACAAAATGTAAAAGCACAGTCAATAAAGATGCACTTGCACATATCTGAGTTGTGGCGTAATTGCATTCGAAACGATTCCTTTCCTTTCTTTATCGATCTTTTCAATATATATCCTTTTAATGCCTAACTCTTGATGTTCAATGTAAATGTGGAAAGTAACGTACGCACGCGCGTATGGTATTATCAAATATATAGAGGCCATTTGGAGTGTTTCAATTAACGCTAGAGACTCATTAATTATTGAAAGGGATTAAATTACGCTACATTGAACGGCATGCCAATAAACATCATAATCGTCATACATTGCAGATTATCATTCGCATTGTTTCCATACATAAGTAATAATGTTTAACGTTAATATATTAATAAATATAGCTTGTTGCAATTAATGTCATACTTCAAAACGTTATATCACATTGAAATACATCACGGGATCTGGAATGTGTGTTCAAATAAATATTTTACTTTTTATGCGTGATAATAATTACGATACTTTATTTATTTATATCGGGTTAGATTAAACGTGCGATTAGTCGTCAGCAAAATAATAACCGATCTGTTTGCGGATTCGCGCGATGGTCGCTGTCAATTTCCTACGAAAACAGGAAAACCTGTGCACACAGGATCCGGTTTGAATGCATTGTTTCGAACGTAGTCCCGTATTTCATTCCGACGGATCCTGCGGTCGCACGGAGACGACGATCGGACCGCCGTATCCTTCGCGAGTCTCCTATAAATGCCGGCGTCAAGACGCCCGGCTATGTAAAGACTCGTCGTACGTTGTCTCGGAGACAACGTCGCGATTTCCCTGTATTTTCGGCACTCGAAGTTTCGATATCGATTCCCGACGAAGCGTAATCGCCGCGTGATCGCCGAGCAGTGCCCGCACTTGTTGACTGTCAACATGGCGAAGAAATCGGATATTCTGTATCTGTTCGATAGACCGGCGGAGCCGGTGTACGTGCCCAAGGGAGAGAACAAAGTCGCTTTCGATGTACCATCTAACTACTTGGTAAGCCCAATTCTGGTTGACGGTCTTATTGCGTATCAATATTGAATTCCGCGACATGAGTTTGATCTTGCTCTGAAGTTCACTCGAGAACTTGAAATCTCTCTCTCTCTCTCTCTCTCTCTCTCTCTCGGTTGTTAATATTAGATATTAAAATTAAGATCGTAACGACGCTCTGAGAATGTAAGATTTCTAACATAAGATTTCTAATGATTTTGCGAAATAAAAAAACTTCTCTTTCGTTCTAGTTTCTCGTATTTAAGAATTCTTAGAGATAATCTGCAAAATGGAAAATTTATTTATTCTTCTACATTGTGTAAAAGTTTATAAGAATGAAGAAACAACTTTTAGTCGAGCAAAAATAGAATATTTCTTCGTTAATATTTATTTTATTATGCAGAAATTTTCAAATATAAACTTTATATTTTTTTTTTTTTTCGATAAACTCCTGTAGCCTGATAATCGACAATCGATAGCTCCTGCTTTACTCAATCGTTTCGGGGGACGAGACCGAGTCGAAAGTTTCAGTAAAGCAGATTAGTCTGCCTGATTTGAGTATTCCTCTTCAACTTGGACGTCGAGAACCTTTCTCTCTTTTCATCCCTAAGCACCGAAATTAGCTGCACGACTTATCGACATCTTCATGGGTTTGTTCCGACTTTTTACATTTACGTATTCGCCGAAATATCTATTATTCGCTGAATTATATACATTTTATT